AAAGCATGACATTGTTAGCTGTATAACATAATTAATGGCATATATATGCACTGAAGTCGGTTTTTCCAAATGTAAGAATTATCTTCAGGATATTTAATGAAATGATGACTACCAAGTGATCAGTAGCAGTCAGTTTCAAAATTAAAATTAATGAAACATTAATTGAAGGATACTATGAAACAGAGTAAATTTAAAATTTATTATGAAATATTGATGAAAATTGGTTTCAAAACTTTTATTAACAAATTCTCAAGCATGAGAAGGTGGTTACGAACTTAGTTTTGTAAGGTTTAAGAAAGGTTTACCACAAGTCTTTTTATTTCATGGAAGTTAGAATTTGAAAATTGAAAACAAATAGAGGGCTACCATAAAAAATAGACCAGGGTCCCCACAGGTAGTAAAGACGGCCCTGGTCACAAGGAATCCTGGGGCAGTCGAAAGAAAGTTCCTATATAAGGCAGAAGAAACAAGTTTGGAAAAACCGTGTCTTTACCGATTAGGATATCTGAGGTCCTTGAGTATTATACAATTTTCAAAATATTGGATACTCTCATGGACATATTATATAATACACCGTGATTTTTTTAGTCACTCTACGAAATTCCAAGGAGCTCTAAAATGTCACTATGAGCATCAAAATTTATGAAGCTTTAGTTGCTGGTTGATCAAGTATTAAATCTTTTATTTCTTGAAGTACAATTATTCAAACTAGGAATTGATCTATTGTAGTCATAACATTATTCTTGTATAAATTGTGCAAAGTTTACTTACATCCGTTCACGATGAAAACTATTTTAGCAATTTCACTCACTAGCGTGCACATGAATCTTGTTAAGGAGGGGCAATTTTTTTTTCTATGGTGCATTTAATCTGGGAATGGGGAGTACTCCAAAATGCGTGGTGGATGGTGCTGTCCATTGATCACTGTTTCCCTACTGTTCAACCTAGCTAATTTTATTTATTTTTTGCTACGGTGGTGGTTCATGTTCTTTCAGACAGCCAATGGAAAGAGGCAATTTGATTCCATCATTATCAATATACCTGATGACGATTACCAACTGCTCGTGGTGGCCACAATCTCTCTCGCACAATATCGATGAAACGTTCCATACTACCAACATGTGTATCACTGCGATTATGTTTGCCCGCTCGGTTGCGTTCTTCCAATTTCTGAACCCTGTAGGAATCGTTGTAATAATGTTTTGCGCCATGCTCTTCTTTACATTTAAAAAATATAAAACCAAAGAAAATATATTATTATATTTTGAAGGCATCGTTACAGTTAATTTTTGAGTGTTTCAAGGTTTTGTAAGCCCTTATATGCTGATGTAGTTACATTTTATTATAACCTTTGCGAGTACGTTAAACTTGGTAATTTTCAGCGAAAATTGTATTTCTATTTTTTTTTTCCAGGGCTAATAGGATCATTTTTTTCCTTGGATTGTTTTCCGTCGATCTTGTTTTCCGTGCTGAGCACCAATGCTACCGACGCCAGGAAGGCAGCTCCCACACCTGAACCCTACCTATCGATCCATCAACTCTTGAACCGGGGACCAACGGCTTTACTTCCCTCAGTGATCAGAGATGTTATGCCTCAGAACATCCCGGCGGCGCTGACTGGGATTGAACCCAGGCCTGCTGGGGTGAGAGGTAATCACGCTTACCACTACACCACTGGCGCCGCTTTAATAGGATCATTAAAAAGGTTTAAAAAATATGTAACGATTGGAACAAAAGCGCACAAAACTATTTTGACAAGCGAGTACATGATTGTTAACGGAATGACGACTTGTGCGAAGGATTGAGCATGTCATCCCTTTCTCAAAGTACCGCCAGTCGGGGTGACAGGAAATGATGCCGAACATTCAACATTTTTTAAAGATGATTTAAAGAAAAATCCCGAATTTATTGCAACGCACATAAACAGCTGTAACTTTTTAACAACGGTAACAAATGGCTTGAAATTTTCATAGAAGATTCTTAAACAAATTCTTAGTAAGACAACAATAGACCAAGGATCAATGGCAAACTAATACCCACTTTTCAATTAAGGAATCCAAAAGCTGTCTTTAAACTTTGTACAGTTACAAAAAAGTTCACCCTCAGAATTCCGTGAGGTTCTTTTCGAATTTTTTAGAACTCCATGAGCTCTTTTGAAATTCTTCTCAGAAGTCCTCTGAAATTATTTTTAGAACTCTTTTTGACTTATACTCAGAACACCTTGGAACTGAAATTCCCTTAGAGTTTCAGATGAATTTTCTTAGTATTATCCAGAAATTATTTCCGGAATAAGCTAGACGTTATCGGTATTCCCTTGAAATTTTCCGCAAATCGCTTTGGAATTTCACTCAAAATTTAATTTTCTCGGGATTCTTTTCGGAATTATCTTGGAACTATCTGCAAGATTCACTAGAAATTATTCGCAGAATTTTCTTGGTATACTCCCTAGAAATCCTTAAGAACTGTCCTCACAATTCAATATCCTTGAAGTTCTTCTCGGATTCTTTTCTAGAACTCTCCTAAGAGCTCTTTTGAAATTCTTCTCAGAAGTCCACTGGAATTATACTTAGCACTCTTCATGATTTTTTGCTCAGAACACATTGGAACTGAAATTTCTTTGGAGTCTCATAAATTTTCTTTGGAATGAGCTAGATCCGTAGAATTTTCTTTGAATTCTCCCCAGAAATATTTTGGAACTTAAAAAAAAATTCAATATCCTTGAGGTTCTTCTCGGAATGTTTTAGAACTTTTTTTTTTCTCAGAACACCTTGGAACTGAAATCCCCCTAAAGTTTCAGAAGAATTTCCCCTGTATTCTCCAGAAATTCTTTCCAGAATAAGCTTGAAATTATCCTCGGAATTCCCTTGAAGTTTTCTTCAACATCCCTTTGGAATTTCATTCAAAATTTGATTCTCTCGATATTCTTTATGAATTTATCTAGGCAATATCTGCAGCATGCACTAAAAATTATCCACAGAGTTTTCTTTGAATTCTCCCCAGAAATCTTTTCTTTTGGAACTGTGCTCAGAATTCAATACCCTTAAAGTTCTTCTCGGAAGTCAAGCTAAAGTAGTCCGTCCATTTACCAAAACGTTGTAGTTTTTCTACTAGACATGTTCAATAAAGCTTGCCCTTCCATTCACCAGAACTGTGCAATTTTTACATCAGGAATTTTCAATTCAGCTTGCCCCTCCATGCAGTAGATTGTTCCAAATCTTAGACCAGAAATTTTCAATACAAACTTGCCTTCAGGAAATTCTACACCAGAAAATTTCAATTGACCAGAACGATGCAAATTGTTCACCGTTAATGTTCAATTGCTTCTCCAATCTTCTGATTGGTGCAGATTTCCTTTTTACATTTTCCACCAGACATTTTCAATATAGCTGGTTATAGAATGTTGCAGGTTTTCCACCAAATAAAGCTTGCCCTGTTTTTAGATTTTTCATCATAAATTTTTCAGTAAAGCAGCTTTCCTTCAATTATCAGAATGGTGCAAATTTTACACCAGAAATTATTATTAAATTGTTTTTCTCTATTCAGCAGAAGGATGCAAATTTAAGATCAAAATTTTTGCCCATCTGTTTGCCAGAACGGTGCAGATTTTCCACCAGAAATTTTCAATATAGCTTAAATTTAAATAAAGCTTGTCCCTTCATATACCAGATCAGTGTAAGTTTTCCACCAGAAATTTTCTGTTCATATCATTTATCAGAGCGATGCAAATTTTGCACCAGAAATTTTCAATAAAGCATGCTCCTCTATTCACCAGAACGATACACCATGTATAACCATGCACCTTTGTGGTGCTATTTTCAGGCTTTGCTTCACCATGCACCATGCATCATGCAAATTTTACACCATAAATGTTCAAAACAGCTTGCATTCATCAGAACGATGCAAATTAGGCATCAAAAAAATTAATAAACCTTGCTACTACATTCACCACGGTGTTGCGAACTTTCCACCAGAAATTTTCAGTTAAATGTACACATCCATATTTTTAGCGTGATTCAATTTTTCCACCATAGTTATTAATTTTGATTAGTCCTTCCATGCACCACCTTGATGATATTTTTACACCAAAAATATTCAATAAAAACATTTTCTTCGATTTACCACCACGAGGGTGAATTTTTCAACCTTAAATTTATCCTCTTCTTTTAACTCTCCATGAAAACCTTAAAAAAAAAAAAAAAATTACAATAGAAATTTTTTGTATGCAAAAAATTGACCAAAAAATTTAATTGAAGTGTGTCCCTTCATGCACCTTCGTGGTGCAATTTTCAGGCCATCGCAAAGGAATTGACGCAATAAAAGCTTTTCAGTGCTCTTATATTATGAAATGAAGTTATTTTACCTTCAAATCAAGTTATCAAGAAATCAAGTTATTTTGTATCATTATTTTGTAAATGTGGAAATGAACATCTTATTTATAAAGGGGGGGAAGGGAGGGGCAATTATTAGAATCAAGAGAATCAAGGATTAAGAATCAAGAGAATCAAGGATTAAGAATCAAGAATCAAGAGAACCAAGAATCAATTGAATGAAAAAATTAGAAAATCGGGAAGAATCAGGGAATCAAGAATCAAGCGAGTTAAGAAACAAGAGAATCAATAATTAAGAGAATCAAGAATCAAACATAATAAAAATCAAGACATAATGGAATCAAGAATCACAAATCAAGAAATATCATAAGACATTAAGAAATTTTCAATAATTAAGCTGGTTTTTAGACCCATATCCACTGGCGCTCGCAGGAGGGATGGCAAACAACAACCAAAATGATACCATCAGTATTTTTTTTTCAACTGAGATCTGTTTTTGGCGTTTGGCACTCCCTCAATGTACATCTGCATACGACTTTTATTAGTCCAATTGTAATCTACAGCGACTTCCTCCTGCTGCCCTTTTGCTGAGCACAGTGCCCACATCTACTAGAATAAATGCCGTTTGTATGCTCAAAGTTTCTAACCAATTCCACTTAACCTTTATTGCAGTATTCCTGGAAGTCAACCTACTATCCAACGTCTTCGACATCCAGTTCCTCTTTCGGAAGCAGTAGAGTACGTATTCCACCTTGTGCGTCTGTGTCTCCCCGCTTTATGTTATGTAGTTAAATGTTTTCAAAAAAAATAAAATCTAAAAAATAATCTAAGGTGTTGAAATTGGAAGTGATTGAGTTAAAATTTCAAAATTTGTTCAAATCAAGCCAAAATTTACAATCGTTGAATAAAACCATCTGTTGATCCATTAGTGCCCTTAACTTTGCCAATTGTCTTTTTCACCAAGTGTTTCCATTACCCCCGTTATTTCTAAATGCCATCAATCAATAGCATCTGTTGACCCAAAAAACCCCAAATAGACACACACACACACTCACGCTTTGTCTACCGGCAGATCGTTGTCGTCGTTTGATTGACACTGGCGTTGCGTCCAAGCGCAAGAGCCGTCCGTTGTTTCGGGTCGCTTCTGGCAAGATATTTTTGGCAGTACTTCTCGAGTATCAACCTAAAACACCCCATTGCATAGAATCAACAAACTTTCGACGATCGAAACAAACTCAACACGCAAGACGTAGACAAAGTGACGTTTTTGTGTGTGTGTCTGTGATGTCTTTCGTATGTATCCTCTTTGCTTCCCGTGTGATAATGTGTACGATGTGCTGCAGAAGATCTGTGTGGTGAAATCAAATGTCATAGCGAAAAGTACGCAGCCGGTGCCAAAGATGTTCAAACCCAGCTGGCGCCCGACGATCGTTCATGTCAGCTGATCAACTTGGATACTTGTTTGATCTGAATTTATTATGTTGATCGTTTTGCATTACACGGTATGACGGGATATTAATATATATTTTTGTTTTTCTCTTTCAGTTCTCGACCGAACCGACGAGTTCACGGTTCAGTTCGTTGAGTTCTACCGGTAGTAGCAGTTACCGACCATCGTACACCACTGGCAGCTATCGTTCTCCTCGGACGGCATCAAATGTGTCGAATTACATCAGTCGGTACTCTAGCCTGGCCGCTGAGAAAGAGAAGGAGAAGGATCGGGAGAACACGAAAGAAGAGGAACGAAGAAGAGAGAGAGAACGTGAACGTGAGCAGCGAGAGAAGGAAAGAGAGAAAGAGCGTGATCGTGAGAAGGATCGGCTGATTGAAACTTCGAAAAAGTTGGAAGCAGAGCTTGAGAAGGACAAGCCAAAATTGATTAAAAAATCAGCGCTAATTGCAGCCAAGTATGGTGAACGTACTGCAGAGAGCGAAGATGCGACGAAGGCAGGCGCCAAGACAACTTTGCTGAAACCAAAGAAGGAAAATGCACCACCAGTTACTTTCACTACCCGTTACGGACGGGCAGGAGTCACTAGGGAAAAATCCAGAGAGCCAAGTCCGGCCACCACCAGGGTGAATTCGTCGAATAATTTGACTGTGAATCGACCAAGAGCTAGGGATCCGAGTCCTGCTGGCGGGGCTGGAGCGAATAAGATCAGATCAAGGGATCCTAGTCCATCAGTGGAGAGCAAACGGACAGGAGGATATGCAGCGGCCATTGGTAATAAATTTACTGCCAAAGAAAATGGCAGTCAGGCTCCAGCTAACGAATACAAGAGACAGAATTCGAACACATTGAGCAGTTATTTCCAGAATCGAGCGCGATCAAGAGATCCTAGTCCCACGGTGCGTACACATACATCGAGAGAATCCAGCCCCATTGAATCTAAGAAAGTGGTGAAGTCATTCAATGCACGATCAAGGGATCCAAGTCCAGTAACGTCGAGAATTAATATCACAAATGCCAAGACAACAACTGCCGTTAGGCACCGGTCTAGGGATCCGAGTCCAGCAGAACCTAAAAAGTTTACTAGTAGCATTAGTATTAAGACTGGCATTCGATCAAGAGATCCAAGCCCTGCTGAACCGAAAAAGATTCCAACTTTTGGTTCCAGTAGACTCAAATCTAGAGATCCCAGTCCTGCAGCAACTAGGCAGCCCACATTTTCAAGCACTGCCCCTAGAACACGGGTGCAAGATGTCAGTTCAGCAGGACCTAAGCAATCACCAGCCTATACGAGATCACTGACTAGTAGAGATAAGCCAGCTGAGAATCGCTCTTTGACTTTACCATCTCAAAAGACTAGAGATCCTAGTCCTAGTGTGTCTAAGATGAGAAGTCGTGACCCTAGTCCAGCAATGAGCACTACTGCTGCCAGGAGATCATCCAGGGAGCCTAGTCCAGCGGAGTCGATACGAGAAAAATATGGATTAAATTCAAGCGGGTATCGACCCTACGGCAGGAGTAGCACCAGCCTTGCTACTACATCTTCTCGAATATCGACGAGTTCGAGTCCAGTTCCAACGAATCAAATGGCTGGATTGGCTCTTTCTTACATGACTTCCAGTGAAACAATAGCCGCAAGGACTACCCGACCGTCTTCGAGATTGTTGATGTCTCAATCACGGGAGACTTCGCAGTGTCCCTCTCCATTGTTGCTACGAAGTCAAATATTTTCGCCGGAACCTCTGCTGATTGTAGAAAACGAAAAAAAGCCAGAAGAAGAGGAAGAAAGCTCGTCATCAACAGAAACCAGCTCCTCGGAAGAAGAGACATCTGAAGAGACGGAAAGTAGTGTCGAGCCAGAGGCAAAGATTTTCATTGAGATATCGTTGGTAACGCGAGGAACATCACCAACACCGCCGGGTTCCACGCCTTACCTACGAGCCAGGCGGGCAGAGATGTGTAAAACCATCGAAAAGACAATTCAAAAGCAATTGCTCATCGTCGAAACTGCTGATAAAGCTGTCCAATCGGATAGGATGGATGATTCTACCAAGTATCTAAGATACAGTCAACCGGCGACTAGAAATTGGTCACCTTTTCTAGACAAATTTAGCTCAAGTGCGTCCTCCGGTTACACAAGATATTCCAGTGCTTCTTCGCGATACAGTCGAGATAGTTCAAGTCAAAGTAGGGAGACAAGCGTTTGTTCACCGCGTAACGATGTCCCTGAGAAGAAAGAAGAGAAGATCTCAACACTTGCTGCCCGCGTGAGAGATATGAATTTGTCCAAATCGGCAAGCCCTAGGAGTAACGCAGCCAGCAGATCTACTACAAGTACCCCTTCTATTAAGCAGAAGACTCCACCTAAGCATAAATCTCCAGAGAAACCCCCACCTGCCCCTGTGAAGGATGGTTCACCGACGAAATCATCTGCAAATTCCAAAATCAATAAAGATTTCCGTAAATCCGCCCTCAACATGGGTCCAGCACCGGAACGGCCCCGCAAAGGATCAACTTCCTCGAACAAATCGAGCTCTTCAGCATCTTCCTCCTCAACTGCGACTCAAACGGCCGACGGCATTTCTCAGAATGGCGTCAGTCGGATACCGCAAGCAACGCGTGCCAGCGCCAGCCCTTGTCGCCGTTCAGATCGTTCATCGTCGACAAGTTCAGAACTGAGCACTGCTACCTCTTCGTCAACGTCCGAGGCGGATGGTCAACCAGTTCGCTCATCGCACATGGTATCATCAACGGATGAGCATGGCAATGCAGTGACTGATTCATCTAACGCGAATAACGAGCTGTTGATGAGAGCGATTCAGTTGGCGACGAACTTTGTGAATAACAACAATCGGAATCATAATAGTTGGTTCGATAATAACAGTACGACCAGTGTTTCGGAGAGTTTAAACCAGGATTCAATGTCTAAATCAGGGTGGGAAGCTGGAACGCATTACATGGAGAGTATCAAGGATGATGATTCCACAGAGGAAGAAGAGGAGGAAGATGACGATGATGGTGGAAAGAAGTCAGAGCTCCAACAAGCCTCGTGGTGGAAGAACGACAATGGATTCGTACAACATCCCCCGTCGATACAAGAACCGCAACCATCTGCAAAGAGTTATGCCTATAAAATTAGACCTGTACAGTCAGGTGAGAAAGCATGGTGGATGACAAATGATAGTGACAGTACCAAAGCAGATGATGAAGTAAATAGCCAGACGGTTAATGGTGGTTGTCACTTGACGGTACCCAGTGAGGAGAATGAAAACAAATCATACAGTCCATTTAAGCCCATCAATGGCTCGAAAAATGATTCCGGGGAGAAACCATGGTGGTTGACGGATAATGGCTCTAAAGTTGAAAAAGAGAATGATGAAGGACAGGTGGAGGAAGATGATGACGATGACGCTGATGATGATGATGATGATGATGATGCAGAAGCAAATGTTCAGGAAGAAACAACTGAGAGCAATACATCTGCTAGTATATTTAGCAGGTTGGAAAACCAACTGAACTCACCATTCAAACCGGCTAAAGTTACGAGGGTAGAATCCGGCGAGAAGGCTTGGTGGATGATGAGCACTGATAATGTAGCTGCAAAGGCCAAAGAAGCCTCTAAGTCGTCGAGTGTTAGTAAGGAAGCATCTAAAGAGTCCAGCCCAGATACCAAGAATCCAGGATTTACCGTCTATAAATTGGAAGCGGAAGATGAAGATTGGTGGCAACAAGCGATGGCCGAGCTGGAAAAGAAGTCTAAATCGAGTTCCAGTGCGAGCACTGCTAGCAGCAGCAGAGCTCCTTCGAAAGAACCCACTCCAGAACCAAAACAGCAGCAGTTCATAATAACTCGAGCAGAGTCGGGTGAAAAAGCATGGTGGATGCTTAGTTCAGATAAAATCAATGAAGAAGCAGCTGCAGTTAGCAGTGATGGATCGGTACGTGAATGTAGTCCTGTTAAGGCGAAACCATACTTGATTACCAAAATAGAGTCGGGAGAGGTCCCTTGGTGGATGACGGAGACGGAAAATAACGTATCTAGATCCGCTTCGAAATCCAGCGTTGTTAGTCGGTCAAACAGTTTCAACTCTAAGCAGCCAAGTCCATCTACATACAAAGTAACGCGGGTCGAATCTGGAGAAAGAGCATGGTGGATGGACAGTCCGGAAGAAAAAGGTGGTAGTCCGAAAAAACTATCATCGTTTATTGAAAAACACGGTGAAGAGGAAAGCCATCAAGCGGATGTGAATGTGGACAATGATCTTGACGAAGAGATTCAAAACATTAGCAAACTTATAGCGGGTCTACCGCAATTCCCCACAGGCCACACTGTCATCGAAGTGGTTGAAACAACCGAAACTCCTCTGGGTGATCGGGCCAGTCCGGAAGGGCTCGAAGACACTAAAAATGAAGCTGATCGATCGTCGCCATATGACAACATTCCTTCGGCTACGGCAAACATCACTCTATCGAGTCTCGAGCCGAAAACCTACCAGCAGGCGGAATTGGATCGTAAAGCAACTGAATCGCCGATCTTTATTTCGCGCCACACAAACATCGACGATCTGTTGGGTGGATCGTGCCACCCACTGAGTCCGATGATGGACCGTATGTTCGTGATGGACGAGCTGCAGGAAATTTCACCACTAGACGTGCGGGTGCACGACGCCACGGCGAATTTTATTTATGGCAACAGGTTAGTGAGCTTTTGATCGTTGCTATAAAACGATGAGAGAGGGAGAGAGAAAGAAAGTGAGAGACTGAAGAGAGATATTCACCACTTGCTTGTTTTGTTTTAATTTCATTTTAGATCAACCCATGGTGGTAAAGCGGCTACCGATGGTGATCTGATGCAGAAAGCTGGGGTGAGTAGGCCTTATTTCCTTGCTTTTAAGATCGTTGTATTATTTTTTATCAATTAAACAATAAGTTATACTTGCCTTCAGGGTACACATTTCAAAGGACATAAAATACACATACACTAATCAAAGAAATTAACATCGAGATTGTCTTTTTTTGGTCAATTGAATAATATTTACAAAATTATTGATTTATAAATTTTATTCTAAATTAACAAACATTCAATTCAATGTTTTAAAACTAGGCGACATTTAATATCCTGAATTGAATTCAAGCATCACACTTCAAAATTCAGTACCTTTTCCATTCAAAATTAGTTTTCAAGCATGTACAACTAATTTTGTCTTGAATTACCTACTGAATTATCTTAATTCTCAGTGACAGGTGTGAAAATTCACCAATTAAAATGCATTTCAAATAACAAATCGGTTTAAAATACTTCAATGTACGACACACAATATTATACCATTTTGATGTTGCAGATGAAAGATAAACTGAATCACATTTGAGTTTGTCCTTTATCTGTGTTCAGACAAAAATCTATCAAATAGCGAACGCTGTAATTTAATAAATTTTTTTTTTTTCCTCTGTTCGGGACTTAACACTACTGCGACCAGTAAATTGATCTATTGTAGTATATCCCGTGTCCTTAGTTTAGTGCATGTCGTATTACTCCATCACTATTGAGAAATGATGAAGTATTATTCGATTTTTTTACAGTGCCACTCTTACATTTATCGCAAGGATCCGACTCTAATTGAAAGGTTCCGCTATTTATACCCTTCGGAGTGTTGAAACACCCCTTTGTAAGTCAAAATTGGATTCCTTAGCAACAAAATTAAGGTATGACACCGATAATGACCATGCATCAGAACCCTAGTCTTAACCACTTCAAACTAGGGAACAACGAATAGAAGATTAGGAATCACATAGATGAAGACAACTAACTCGTTTTTTCCTTGTTTCAAGATCATCTTCGGTAGTTAAAGCCGAGTCTTGTCACTATCAACAAGGCATAAAAAGTAACAAGGACTAAGATGTGTTCCTTGGATTACTGAAAAATCCTGTTCCCCTAGTTTGAAGTAGTCAGGACTAGGAATCGGTGGTAGATCTTACATCCCGTAACGTACCACGAAAAGGTGATCTACCCACGTTACGGGGCAATAAATTTAATTAAATTGTCAATAAATTGTTTCATATTAACACATTTTAAATTTGCGGCGGAACTGATCTATCCTCGATTACGCAAGACATAGGGATGTGTTTAAATTTACATACATTATGGCACCATTTTCATAAGTCTTTGTTCGGCTTTGTTTCGCTGATGTAAGCCATGCAATCAATACGTTACAAGCCAATACGTTACATTCGTGAAATCTCCATTTCATAAGTAACGACGGGAGTCCAAAAACAGCCGATGAAATCAAAGTTGAAGACAAAAGTAAAATTCCAGTTGGGACTTAATAACCATGAAGCATAAGAAGAACTAATTAAAATTTCGATTTAAAGAATCATTATGTCAAAGGCACACTTACTTCCCTGGGGACAGAATTCTGATCTAAACTGTACACCATCCAATAGGGTCTTGTGCATCTGAACAACTCGGCCAAAGACAGCAAGTCACTTCGTACACTAGTGCTGCCTGGTGAAATTTTCAACTAAACTGGCATGTCTTATAAATCTGATCAACTTTGCCAAAACAGCAACCATCTATCTTCTTGTTTTATTAGTTCTAGTCAGTGTTCGTTTTTATCATTTACTATCACAAGCAAGGAGTAGCGCTTCATTCCAGTGTAGATGAATTGCGTGAGTTCATTATCGAATACGCGTTTGTTGATATCCACCACTGCTTGATTATCCAACCCAAATTGTCAAAATTAGAAGCGATCCTCAAAAGCAAAATAATCAAATTCATTTAGGGCAAAATGATTATTTTGAATATTGTCGATTCCAGAGCATAAAACCTCGATATTACAGGGCTGGTAGCGGTCAATGCTATCAAAAATAGTGATTTTAGTGACTATGTTGAAGAAATAAGTGACCAAATAGTGACTTATACTTGTAAAAAAAAGTGCCTAAAAAGATTTCGTGTGAAGCCTAAGATAGTTTTGAATAAAATTTCATGAAAACTCTGTATTGAACTCAATGTAAATTTTAATGAAATTTCTCAAGAATTTCTGAGGATACTTAACTTCGCTGTGTTTGCTTTGCGCTTTTGCCAGCCATTGCCGGTCTGACTTAGGTAGTTTGTCGGAGAAAACGGATCCGGAGCATAAGTCCTTGGAAATTTTGGAGAATACTTTAGGGGTTGAGGGGATGTTAAAAGTAGGATTACAAAAAAAGCTTAGAATAACCCCAGGAGATCTTAAAAGGAATTTGGAAAATTATTCTCCCCTGGAATTGCCGCACAAATTATGAGAAGAAATCTTAGGAATTTGTGAGGAGAAATCTTAGGAATTTGTGAGGAGAAATGCTAATTAATTTTTAGAAGACTTTCAATGTGAGTAGAATTTCAAGGGAGCGAGTGAGATTCAAAAGGAAATCTGTAATGAATTCAATGAAAATTCCGATAATCTTTCCAAAGGGTTTATTACTGAGGAGAACTTCAAGAAAATTAAAAGAAAATTGAATTCGGAAAATAGTTCCATTGAAATGTTGAGGAGAACTCCAAGTGAATTTTCACGAGAAACTTCGATGAATATGGAATAATAGTCTTCTACTTGAAATCTTCCAAAATTTTCCTGGAGTTAACAAAACTTCTTTAAAGCTCTTTGTAGTTTTAAAACTAGCCTGATACACACAATACTTGTCATCATAGTTGGTTGGAAATGCTAACATGAAGCTTTTTTAGTGTGATGATTTATTAGCTAGAGAATGATCTTTGGAAGAGGGTAGGTGGATAGTTCCGTTAGAGTACGGCAGTATGAAAATTGAATAGAAGTTGAAAATGAGCGAAGGGCCATTAAAGCGACAGTTTACAAGATGGACGCACATTTTTGCCTAGCCCGTACGATGTACGCGGGGACTTGAAGTATGTCTCCAAGTCCACAGGCAAAAATGTGCGTCCCTCCTGTTGCTCATAAACTGACTGCGGCTGTGGAATAGTTCTAGCGACGTTTTCATCACTACCTAAAGCCCCACGTTTGCGAGAGCATTTCCAGTCGATGGTGTGTTATAATGCAGTTCTTCTTTACCCAACTATTGTGTTGCTCCTCTCGTCATGACCAACGTGATCATCTCAGAGAGAAAGCAGTAGGGTGGTTGTTGCGTGCTGTACCATCATCAGCATTGTTGACGGCTACTCCCGCCTTGAGTTGTTACATTCAAAGTGTTTTTTTTTATTATGTTACTTCATACGCGAAGTTAACGATTTTCAGAGTTGGTTGGAAATGCTAACATGAAGTTATTAGCTAGAGAATGATCTTTGGAAGAGGGTAGGTGGATAGTTCCGTTAGAGTACGGCAGTATGAAAATTGAATAGAAGTTGAAAATGAGCGAAGGGCCATTAAAGCGACAGTTTACAAGATGGACGCACATTTATAAATTTCCCTGCACTTTTTTGGACGTCCCAAAGTTTGCTTAATTTTCATAACGATCATGGATCTTCTCTTAAATTTTAACAATTCGCTGAGGTTCTCGCAACTTCATTGAAATTTATGCATTTTTTTAATGTTAACGGAGCTGCTCTGAGGTTCTCTGCTCTATCCTGAAGTTTTCTAAACTTCTCTACAATTTTTGCAGTTTTCACGAAGCTTGTTGTACTGCCCTGAATTTAATTGGAGTATCCTAAAACATGTTTAAGCTTCCGTGAACTTCTGAACTTATGTGAAGACCTCAATAATTTTCTTAACATCTCTGAAGTCCTGAACTTCTAAAAATTTCCCGCTAAATTTTCTGAAACTAATGGAACTGAACTCCTCTCGAAATTCCCCTGTATTTTCGGAGCTTACTTAACTTCTTTTTTACAAAAGTTGCATAAGTTCTCGGATCTTCCCTTAAATTCCATAGACTTATATAAAGTTCTTGGAATGTTTCTGAAGATCTCTGCACTTCTGGTACTTCTTTAAGCTCCTGCAATTTTCTTGGTATCGATTATAGTTATATGGCTTTCACTGTAGTTCTCAAGATTTTTTTCTGAAGATCATAAAACTGCCCTTAAATTATCGACACTAATTGATAACTTCATCATTTATCAGATGATTGTCTGCGTATCATGGAACTTTCTGAATTTCTGAACTAAAGTAAGTGGAACTGCCGTTAGGATCTCTGAATTTCATCAAAGATCTCTAGTTATAGCTTTTTTGAGTTTCCACACTTTTCCTCAAATTCTGTATATTTCTGAAGTTCTCTTACCGGTGAAGTTCTGTAAAATTCTAGGAACTTCTTTAATGTTCCTCCATTTTTCCAGAAGCTACTAGAACCGCTTTGAAGTTCATAAAGCTCCCAGTAAGTTGGCCATATTTTCAGAATGTAAACATCCCTTATGTTCCCGCAGTTTGCTGCAATCTTCAATACCTTGAACTTGTACATGGAAACTTCAAAATTTAATGAATTTTATTGTAAAGCTGTTTCTTTACAACTGATGGTCATGTATGAAAAATAGCTTTCTTATTATAAACATGGAAATTATCCGTAAAAGTTATGCACACTTAGAAATACCTAATCTTACACCTGACGGAATCCATCTTTGACATAAAGGATGAGACTTAAACAAACATGTCATGTAAAATTAAGTGCTCTGAGACTGAAAAGTACCAAAGTACGTTTGATTGAGCTGAATTTTGCGTCTATTATGACTCAATTTTATGTCAAAATTGACGCTCGTATATGTCAGTCTCAGAGCACCTAAATTTACATCTACTTTTCTGAGTGTGTGGATAGCCTGGAAAACTCAGGGAATTTTATTTAGCCAAATGAGTAGATAGCAAAAGACGATTAAACGTCAAAAAACTCTATAGAAGCAAAACACCTTCGAATTGTTCGAGAATTAAAACAACATGTAGGC